CCTCAGCCCCTCCTCTAAACCGCTCCTTGACCCCCAACTCCCCAGGATCGATTGTTCCGGGAGGCGCAAGGGGGCATAGCGGAACAGAAAGAGCCAGGCGTTGCCCCTGGATTGGCCCTCACTCAGCCTCTGTCGTGCACCCACTGGCTGTGTGTCCTCTGCAGACCCCTGCTGCCCCCCCCCCCCAGAGCAGTGGGCTAGACCCCAAGCCTCCCTGGGCCTCAGCTTCCTTACCCACACGGATGGGGACGGGCAGCCTCAGTGCGCCCATGAGACTCACGTGAACTGCTGGGTGTCCCCCCGCTGAGGTCAGGCGGGACCTGCCCTGGGCCTCTGGGGGCTCGGCCGGAACAGCTCCCTTTAGAGGGGTGAGTGCCCCGTCCACAGCCAGCATGTGGCTCCTCATGGCCGTCCTCCCGCCACCCCATTACGGATGAGGAAACCGAGGCTGAGAGGGGCAGTGTCTCACTGGGGCTCCCCCAGCCCCCTAGGGCGGCCTGGCCGAGGTTGGCGTTCTGCAGCTCCTGAGAGTGGGTGTGGAGACCAGGCAGCTGGGGCCCGTTCGGGGGTCCCAGGTCCCTCCCTCCCTCCCCCCCCTTCTCCCCTCCCCCTTGCCGGCCTCACCTGGTCTGCCCTGCTCCGCCTGCCTTTTACCTGCCCATCCGCTCCCATCTGCCCAGAGGGTCAGGAGTAGGCATTAGACGGTGCTGTCCCGTCCCCAGATTCGACACCGCACCCCGGCCCCTCGGTGTCCTCCACTCATCTGCTACACAGGGACCTTGGCGGACGGCGAGTATCCCCATCTCCTCTCCTCTGTCCCTTCTCTTTGTTGCTTTCACTTGGTCCCGCTCTCCGCTGGACCCCTGTCCAGTCCCCACATGCCCTCTGTCTGCCTTCATGGAGGTCCCGCTGCCCCTCGCCCTCTCCCCACTCTCCTCTCCTCACCTCCGCTTTCTCTCTCGGTCCTTCACTCCCTCTCACTTTCTCTTCTCTCCTTTCTCCTCCTTCCTCCTGCCACCACCTGGTAGGACACAGCCCGGGGACAGGAGAGGCTCACAGCCCGCAGGGCACACGGTGCCCTGGCCGCCAGCCTCACCCCCACAAGCCTCACCTCAGGCCCGCCTCCAGACCTCCCCCTGCCCGTTCACAGCCGTCCCTCACGGCCACCCTCTCACTTTCAGTGGTGGCCGGGGGCCCATCCTACTCGGTGCCTGGGACTGGGCCTGTATCCTTCTCCCTGACCCCCAGGGGCCACCGAGGAATTGTCATCCCCCAGCTCCCACCCACAGCCGGGTGCCCACCTGCCCCCTGGACACCTGTGTGTGTCGGCCTGTGGCCACCAACCTGTGCTGAGCCGCTCTGAGCCTGACGAGGTGTTCCCAGGGGTCAGGCCCACTCCAGCCATCCCTCAGAGCCCAGGGGCCCTGGGGTGCCCTCTCGAGGCTCTGGCAGGGGCACGGTGGGTGAGCGCCCAGGTGCCCGGCATGCCCTGGCTCCTGCCTCCTTGCCGCTCTGTCCTGCTCTGGTTCTCAGGCTGGGGCTGGAGCCTGGCCTGAACCTCAGCGCTCTGGGCTCTGGCCCTGACACACTGCCCAGGGGGCTGGGCCACTTGGTCCCTGTACCCCCTGCTGCTGGCTCTCCCAGGCTCCTGGGCAGCAACAGCTCCGGCCGACGGACCACCTGGTCCCACGGTGGAGCCGCCCACCAGACACGGGCCCTGCCAGGGCTGGGCCACCCCACCCACCGGATCTGGGGCCTTGGGTGGGCCCGAGGCAGCCACGCCCCTTTGGACACTGGTTTGGAGGCCTGGCTTCCGCCAGCACCCCCAGGCCAGCCCAGCAGGCTGCCGGCCCCATCCCTTGCCTTGCTGTCACACCACGGTCCCCAGAGGCTGCCTGGGCCTGGCTGCCCAGGGTGGGAGAGCCACCGAGATTGCCGTCCTGTCCAAGGGGACGTGTGCCGAGAGCAGCGGCAGAGGGGCTCTCACCAGGGCTCCTCCAGCTTCCAGAGCTCCCCCGGGGGACCGGGAGCCCAAATGCTGATAAGGACACCAGCCAGGGTGACCCGGCCAGCCCCCTTGTTCTGTGCCAGGCCAGCCCCCACCTCACAAAGCCAGGCCCCCAAGGACTGTAGGACCAGGCAGGCGGCCGAGGGTCCCGGTGACCTTCGGAAGTAAGCGGGCCCAAGGTCGCCTCGCTGCCCCCTGACCATCTCTACACTAGCCTGACCCAAGGTGGGCCTGAGGAGAGCCTTGAATCACCGAGGGGGGGCAGGAGGGGGCAGGGGAGTGACTCACAGCCTCCTGGGAAGGGGAGGAGCATGGCATGGGGTGGAGGGCACTGCAGGGGGAAGGGTCAGCCCTGGGAAGTCTTAGGAGGATGGGGAGGAACCAGCGTCTGGGTGGCTACACAGCCGTGGTCCCGGAATAAACGAGATTTAGATGAGGAATACGGGCGGGCTAGGGAAGAAGGTTTCCCAGCTGGCCCAGAGGGTCGTTTTTAATCTGCTTAAACTGGATTCAATTTACACCACAGCCACCACTGGCTCCCAGCATGCGTCTCCGGAGCTTGTCACAGAGAGGGGTCGCGTCCCATCTCTGACATCCCCCTCCCCTCCCTGCCCAGGCATCTGTGGTGAAGGCTTGGGATGAACTGGCGGGCTCCCCACTCCCAAGGTGACCTGGGATGAGGCATGGCCTCTCTGCCCTGGTTTTCTGTCTGTCAAACAGGGACAAGGCACCTGCCCACCGGGGCTGCGGGAGGTTAGGTCTGTCAGATGCCGGAGAGATGCTGACGACCATGAGGATGATGGGAATGTCACTGGTCTGGCCAGGCCTCACGTGTCCCTGCGGGTGGGTAGCACCCCGCCCGTCTCTGGGTCAGGGGCCTGGAGGGTGTGCGGGTTGGTGCACATCTGTGAGCATCACCACGTGCCATTTGGTGGACCAGCTCATGTAGCCGGACAGACAGGCTTCTGTTATTCCTCATGAGGGACTCTTCTCCGCTCCCTGCCCCACCCTCCCACTGTGGACGTTTCTAGGGAGTTCAAAGAGACACTTCCTTCTGCCCCTGCCCCACTGGCCAGCCACCCGCAGGCCCACACGACCCCCGCCCATGTTCTTGGGGGGTCACCCCGAGCCTGCCCCTTGCCTGCTTCTGAGCTGGGGCTGCGCCCTCCGCACCCCTTCGGGGCCCCCACTGTGCCCCCTGCTCGCCAGCCAGGTGCTGCGTTTGAGAATGGAGCCAAAGCCACAGCTGGATGGACGCTTGTGGTCCAGGCCCTCCTATGACAGGGACGTGTGCCCAGCCGGGCCCTGGGGCTCTGCCTGTCATCCTGGGTGGGCTAGGAAGCTCCCCTCTTGTGCCTCAGTTTCCCCACTTGTTAAGTGGTGCTAGTGAGCCCCGGGGACTGACCCCGGGCACTCATCAGTCCCTGGGCCACAGAGCTTCCCAGAGGGGGACAGTGATGACTCGTGGGACGACACATCTCAGCCAGGCAGGGAGGAGAAGTCTTGCCTGAGACAGGTGGCCCTGCACGAGCGTCTTCTGGTCAGCAGCCTCAGCTGGGATGGGCCAGGGGTCTGGCCCTGCAGCCCGAAGCCTCCTGCTGGGCTTAGACGGACAGGGAGGATTTGGCATCTGGGTGGCCACACGGCCATGGCCCCAGAATAAACCAGAAGCCAGGAAGCGACAGGTGAAGCCCAGGAGATGACTCACGGGGGTAGGGGCACCTTCTGAGCAGGCAGAGTGGGCTGCAAGGGAGCATGCCCAGCAGAGGCCCCTCAACCCAGTCCCAGGTCCCGACCCTGGAGAGGCAGCCCTCAGGCCATGCCAGGGTGAGGCTCGGAGAGGCCCATCATTCTGCGTCTGCAGGGACCTGGCAAGCAGGAGCTGGAGGGACCAGGGCTGTTCTCAGTTCTGCTCAGATGCTGCTGAGCCCACCTGTACACCTCCTTGTCCCTCCTCTCTCCAAAAGGCAGGGCTTGGGAGGACCTGGGGATGCTGAGAGGTGCCTGTCCAGCCATCCAGGAGCTTGCAGTCTGCCCAGCATGCCCTGCCATTGAAGGAGGCAGGGAGCAAGCTCACCAGGCCTGGCAGAGGAGGACAGTCCTCCCCTCTTGGGAGAATCCGAGGCAGACTGCATGGAGGATGCGGGATTTCAGTGGGGCCTTAGATGTCTGGAAGGGTTTAGGAGGAGGAAGAGCACTGCAGGCGGCTCAGAGGGAGGCAGTGAGGGGCCCGTGGCTCAGAGTAGTAGCTCTGAGCCTGCCTACAGCTGAGCCTGTGGATCCTCCTGCCCTGTGCCTCTGCTCTCTCCACGACACTACGAGTCAGGTGCCACCGCACCACTACTTCACAGAGGAGGAAATTGAGGCCCAGAGAGGATAGGGCACTGGCCCAAGGCCTGGGGATGCAGGAGCCAGGATTGCAGCCCAGAAGATCTGACTCTGAGGCCTGAGCTCTCACGATGGCCCCGGTGGTGCCTCCACACGGGGCTGGTGCACTAAGGGCATGGGTGGTGAACGAGGCTGCAAAGTCCAGTTTCGTCGTCTGTGAGGGGTGACTGGATGGTCCCCGAGCGCCAGCGGGACCACGGGTGCGGCCTCGGAAGCGTGCTCCTCACTCTGGGCGCGTGAGCCAGGGCAGAGCCTGTGGGGCAGGGAAGGGTCTTCGAGCAGAGAGTGGCGCTGCCTGAGGCAGACGGAGCAGGTGGGAGAGGCGGAGGAGGGTGCACTGCCAGGTACAGGAGGAGGGGACACGGCCCACGTGCACGCACCCACGCACACGTGCACGCAGCCCGGCGGCATGGCACACCCCTCATCCTGCTACAGCACAGGGGCTGGGCCAGGCTTCTGGGAAGGGCTGGGACGCCCCACTCCCGGGGCCAGCCTGGCCCAGCCACACCAGCCCTGGCTTGGCGGGTGCCGATCGTCCGCAGGTGGGACCGCGCGGGCACCCCGCCCTGCCCTCCGTGCCCAGCCTGGGCCGGCAGGGACCTACCTCAGGAGGTTCTCCAGGCCCTGTTTGCTAGAATTCCTCCTCAGGAGCGCCGGGCTGCTCATGCTGCTGGCGGCCGCCCGCCTGGCCAGCGACCTGGCCTGACCCCAGCCCTGGGGACGCTGCTGCGCGTTCTTCAAAGGCTCCTGTCCTGCTGGCCCTCCTCCTGCTCCTCCTCCTGTAACTAGGACCCCTCTCTCCCCCTCTCTCTTTCTTTCCTTTCCTTTCTTTTTTTCCCCTCCCTTCCCCTCCTCCACCCTCTGTCCTGTCTCTACCTCCGAGCTGTCTCTCCCTCTGTCTGGCCGTCTGGTCTCTCTCTGGCCCTGACACCCCCTCCCCTGTCTCCTCTCTCTGTCTGCTTGTCTGTGGCCTTCCGTCTGTCCGTTCTGGCCCCTTGGCCTCGGGGGTCTCCCGGGCTGCCTCCTGTGGGCTGCCCCGGGTGCCTAAGTGCCCTCTGGCCTGTCTCTGAGCCTCGCGGCCCTGTGGGTCTCTCGGCCCCTCTCCTCCTTCAGGACGCTTAGCAGCTGCTTCCCTTTTGTTCCCCCCAGCCCCTTCTCCGCCCGCCTTGTCTCCCCACCTCCACCTCCCCCTCCTTCTGAGACTAGTAAAAATGTCAGAGAGAAAACCCTCCCAGCCCCACAGCCTGGGGGCTTAGCAGGCCCTCGGAGGCCTGTGATGGGCAGCGTGTTGCTGCCTCCCGCCTCTCTCGCCTCCCCCACCACCACCCAGGCAGCTGCTCCCTGCCTTCCTCACTCTCCTTCATCTCATCTCGCCCCACTCTTGGGGTGCCTGGTCCCCCAAACATGCCTCTCCATCCCTCGTGCCTCGCCCCTTGCCCTGGCCTGGCCCAGCCAGCCCTCTGGCCCTCCTTTTTCTCTCCTTGATCTATCTGTTGGATCTTCTCTCTCCCCCTGCCCTGCCCAGTCCTGGGCCCTCTGCTCTTTCCTCTGTGGGCCTGGTCTCCCTCGCCTGCCTCTCTGGTCCCACACTCAGCCCCTCTCTCCCTCTCTTCCCTCATCGGTCTCTCTCGGTCCCTATCTCTGTCTCCCTCCCTCCTTCTCTCCCCCTCCCTTTGTCTCTCCTCCCTTCCTCTTCTCGCTCCTTCTCCCCTCCCTCCTCTCCCCCTCCCTCCTGGTTCTCCATTTTCCTTTGTTCATTCCCAGCCCTCTGCTCCTGTTATCACCTCAAGGGGGAGGCTGGGGCACCCCGGGAATCCTCTCCACTCCCCAAATGGGGAGACTGTTGCCCCCCCAGTCCCCAGCAGACTGCACTGGAAGGTCAGAGTGGGGAGACTCCGAGAGGCAGAGATGAACACAACCTCTCCCATTTGGTATCCGCAAGCCATGTTCCCAAGAAGTGGCTGGTGGGCACAAGGTCGGCAGTGCCCTGGCGGCCAGGTCCCTTGCCCCTGTCTTCTGGCCAAGGCCCCGGGAGGAGCAGCCCAGCCCATTGTTTCTCTGGTTGGGCTTAGTCCCCATGACTCACTTGAGCACACTCGTGGCAAGTGACTGGACAAGGGGAGGGACTGGACTGACATTCACGGCAAGTCGCCGAGGGCCAGCGCTGTGCCAAGCAGTCTTACGTCCAATAGCTCCCCCAGCTCGCCAATGCTCATGACCGCCCTAAGAGGCAGACGCCACTGTACCCATGTCCCAGCTCGGGAAACCGAGGCTCAGACTGGTATCCAAGGGCACTGAGCCTGGGCCTGGCAGAGCCAGAAGCACAAGCCTAGTCTGCCAACTGCCCAGCACTGGCCTGGAGAGGCCATCTCCACATGCACTGTGGCCTGCCCTTGCTGCCCTCCGTCCCCACAACTGCAGAGGAACGGCCTCTCTCGATCCCCCAGCTAGTCTGACCTCCGGCTGGGCCAGGTGCTCAGGGCTGGGAGCACCTGGTAGATGTGTGAGTTGACAAAGGGCGAGGTCAGGATCAGACAGGCGAGGGAGCGGATGCACAAATGAATCACTGTGTGAAGGCAGCGTGGGTTGGAGGTGGCAGCGATAGTCGGAAAAATCCCATGTGGGCCCAGAGCTCAGGTCTGCAGTGAGTCAGGTGGTGGCTGGCTGGGGGAGAATTTGTGAGGGTCAGAAGTCTGGTTCAGATCCCCCCACACACACATCAGATGGGTCCCATGGCCAGCGCTGGAGGGGAGCCCACGGCATCTCCCCTCCCCGTGCACAACCCCGGAGGAGCCGGGGAATGTGGGTGTGCCGCAGAGTCAGCTGTGCCCACTGCCCATCCCCAGCTCCAGCCAAAGCCGTGAAAACCTCAGGATTCTGGTGGAATAAGGAGGAGGGAGGGTGGCAGGGCCGGTCCTCAGGCTGAGCTGCACATTCAGCAGCGGAAGTAAGTTTGGGCTTCGTTTCCATCTCAAACTGCCCCTCTCCTCCTTGCCTCTTGCTTTTGGTTCTGGAATCCCAGTCACAGACAGCCAGGGATGAAATGTGCCAAGGTGTATTTTGGTTCAAAATAAGGACAAATATTTCCACAGGGAAGAGGGCTGCCTTGGGATGGTGGGAGTTCCCTGTCACTAAGAACTTGGAATTGCACAGTTATCTATCAGAAATGCTGATGGGTGGGAGGTGGCAAGAATAGATCTTTATACGCAGTGGCCAGGATTCCTAGTTTTACAACTAAGACATGTCCTAATAGGGACAATAGGGCAGAGTATTTGACATCAACTCTACCGTTATCTGTCCATCCATCCATCCATCCATCCACCCACACACCCATCCACCCACTCATTCACCCACCCAGCCAGCTATCCATCCTCAAACCATCATCCCTCCATCCATCCTCAATCTATTCGTCCAGCCACCCGCTTTATATAGCTATCTTTATATAGACATAGCTATATATGTCTTTCCATGTATCATTTATCAATCCATCAATTTCTCAATATATATATATCCACTCAGTTATCCATGTAACACAATATATCCTCCCATCAATCCATTCAGGCATCCATCAATACATATATATCCATGTCCACTCATCTCTCTTTACATTGCTTCATTGAGCAAGTATCCATCCATCCATCCATCTACCCACCCACTCATCCATCCCTCCATCCACCCATCCAACCACCTACCCATCCCTCCATCCCTCCATCCCTCCATCCATCCATCCATCCATCCATCCATCCATCCATCCATCCATCCATCCATCCATCTATCCATCTAACCATCCATCTAAATGCCTTAATACATATAAAATACTTAGAAGAAGCATGCAGCTAGCCATGCATCCATTTGGAATATAAAAACCACTCAATATATGTTAATTACATTATCTATATGCTCAACCATCAATTTATATATCTATTTGCCCAGCTACCCAACCAGTGAAATATCTGTTCATTCTTTAATACATCCTTCTAACTCTCCAGATATTTTTCTGTCCTTACTTTCATTCATCTCTCCAAATATTTTAGTATTATCACCCCATTCATATATCTGTCTGTCCATCCATTTATATGTCCACCCATCTTCCCATCTAGCGAGTGATGCATCCAATTGTTCATAAATACACGTTTGTCCTTCCATATACGTATTTGCCCATCATTTTGCCCATTAAGCAATCCAACTGAGTTAAAACAGTTGCTGGAACATAGTAAACCTTCAATAAATATTAGTTACTATTATTTTCATCTATCCATTTACTCATCCATATCTCATCCAACCAATGATCCATTCATTCATCTCTCCATTTGTCTTCATACATTCATCCATCTATCCATATATTTTTCAACAAATTTATTGAATACTTACTGTATTCACTTTTTGGTGCTGAGGATTCAGCATTTACAAAGTCCCTGCTCTCACAAGGCTGACATTTTAGTGGGAACAAAAAAATCCCAAGTAAATGTATACTGTAATAAATCAGATGATGGTAAATGCTATACAAAATGTAATCTTGGTAAGAGGACATAGAGTTCTGGAGGGGACTGATATTTCATATAGTATAGTCAAAGAAAACCTCACAGGAAAGAATAAGCCTTTCCTTGTTTGAAAAGACTCTTGAGAAAAATGACAGATAGCTATATACATCAGTGGGAGAAAGTGTTCTAGGAAGAGAGAACAGTAAGTGCATAGTTCCTGATTTAGGTGTGCTGTTCACCAAGATATGTCTTCAATACTTCATCCAGCATCAAACTATACACCTATTTACTCACTGTCTATCTTTCCATTCATCTGTCTCTTTCTATATTTGTCTATTTGTCCATCTAAAATGCTATCCATTATCCATATCCATCCATGTCTACCTGTGTTGATAAACTTCTGAACATCTGTCCAGTTATTTATCCATCTGCATGTCATCCATCTACCCATCGACCCGTCCAACCATACTTTCATTACATGTGTCCATCCACTCATCCATCCATCCACCCATCCACCCACCATCCATCCAAATAGACATACATATGTTCTTCTGTCCATCCATCTGTCCACCCACCCATTCATCTATCCAAAGACATAGATATCTTCTCATGTCCATCTATCCATCCACCCATCCATCCACCCATCATCCACCCATCATCCATCCATCCATCCATCCACCCACCCACCTATCCATCCAAATAGACATACATATGTTCTTCTGTCCATCCATCCACCCACCCACCCACCCATCCATCCAAACAGACATACATATGTTCTTCTGTCCACCCATCCATTCACTCATTTATCCATCCATCCATCTACCTATCCACCCACCCATCATCTATCCATCCATTTCTCCATCCATCCATCCACCCACCACTCGTTCATCTATTCACCCACCACTCTACCCATTATCCACCCATTCATCCAACTATCCATCCATCCATCCATCATTCATCCATCCATCCATCCATCCATCCAAATAGACATATGTTCTTCTGTCCATCCATCCATCCACCCATCCATCCATCTGTCCATCCACCCATCCACCTACCAGTTCATCTATTCATCAACCCATGCACCCATTATCCATCCATCCATCCATCCATCCATCCATCCATCCACCCATCTATCCATCCATCCATCTATCCGTCTATCTATCCATCCTCCACTCATCATCCATCTATCATCCATCCTCCCATCATCCATCCACCCATCCATCCAAATAGACACACATAATGTTCTTCTGTCCATCCATCCATC